GATGCTTTCATGCTTATCCATCACACCTTTACATGTTCTCATGATTATTGGTTGATTAAGATCTATACACGTGAATATCGGATAATTGTTGACATGTTTATTTTATTCGCTATGCATCGTGAACATGCTGGATATCGACTCTTTAGTCGATAGCCTTATCTCATCGGCTACTCAACCGCACATTTGAAACTGTTTGGAATAACACCGGCAAGTTCCACCTTAAATTACTGATCAATTTCCTCTCCTTGTCAATTGCAGGGTCAAATTGACTGGCACGCCCTAGGTCACGACTATCCGGTCCGGTGTTTCCCTGAACCCGAGGAGAACTCGGGATTTGCTCCACGCGGTTTCTCTCAGCTTGCTTGCGTGCGTTCCCGACGGCGAGCCGACCGACCATTTTCGCGGTCCACAATCCCTTAAGGAGGTCCACCATAATGGTAAATTTGGCCATCAGATCCACTGTTTTGGTGAATCTGGGATTCCGTGGTGCTAGACTGTTTGGCTAACTTTTCATGGAGTGAAGTTTTTGTTGAATTTGGAGCTTGTGGAGCTGTGCAAAACACGCCCTTATAATACGGAGGGGCAGTGTTTGTTTGTACAACAATTGGCCCCGTTTGGTATGACTCCACTTCATTAGTGAAGCCGTTTTTTTTTCTTCAGCTTCATGAACAGCTCTATCGATGGAGCTAGAGTCGTTTTGGTAAATCGTTTAGGAAAATAGCTCTACATTAGAGTTTCTTAAAATATGCTCTTACAGAACAGCATGTAGGATGAGGTGAAATCAGACGAAGCCACTATTTTTTACTCCATCCTATCTCAAATCTCTATAAAATCACGGTTTAAGGAGCTTCCTAGATAAAATCGTTTTATTTTACCGTGTCTGACACAAAACGGCTCTAAACAACTCCGAAAATCGACGGAGAAGCCCTCCCAAACGGGCGTATTATAATCTGGAAATGACGATGGATCGTCTCTAGAAGTCCGAAACTTAGCGATGCAACAACAAAGGAAGGGTGTCTCCAAAAGCTAAAATGCGTGCAGTGACTGCTTCCTTTCTAAAAAAAGGTAGTAGCTGCTAATGGAGGCAAGCGTGAGCATGAACGTGAGATTAATTGCCTTAATGAAAGGATAGGAAGCAACGCAGGGGTTTTCATTAATTAATTAGTTAATCAGAGAGATGCTTCTTCTTCATCCGTTCCAAGAAGCTCTTGCCCTGGAGCTTGGCGGAGAAGAAGAGCGTGATGAAGCTTTGGTGGTCCAGCGTCTTATACTTGGGCGCCTCCTGGTCCCCGAGGAGCTCCGGCAGCGGGCCTACGGTGGCATGTATGCTGGGAGAGTGGAACGCCGCGACGGACAGACGCTCCGTGTGGGCGTTGACGACGGCCCGGTGCTCGACGCTCCTGTACCTCCCGTTGGTGAAGATCTCGAGGACGTCTCCGACGTTGACGACGAAGGCGCCCTGCAGCGGCGTGATGGGAAGCCAAGCGCCGTCCCCCGGCCTCCTGATCTGCAGGCCCTGGATCTGGTTGACCTGGAGGACGAGGGTGAGGAGGTCCGAGTCGGAGTGCGGGGAGAAGCCCAGGACCTTGTCCGCCGCTTCGGCGCAGGGAGGGTAGTAGTTCATCCTCACCGACTGTATCATCGATGGTAATGATATCCCGCCGCTGACGCCGGCGACGAGGCGCACCCGGTCCGTGAGGCCCAGGTTCCTGGACATGGCGCCCAGCAGGCGGTCGGCGACGTGCTTGACGGCGGCGGAGTGGGTGTCCAGCGTCCGGCTGAAGCTGTCGGGCTGGTGAGGCCAGAACCTGAGGTTCCTGTGCTCGGGCGGCTGCGTGTTGAGGTAGAGGACGTCGGCCCAGTCCAGCTTCTGGTCCTCGGAGACGACGAACAGCTGGCCGTAGCCCTCCAGCTGGCCTGCCTCCTGACGGAACTGCTGCTTGGCCTCCGCAGGAAGCGCGAAGAATGCCTGGGTGCTGCCCTTCATCGCCTCCATCACATCCTCCGGAACACCGTGGTTTATCAGCTTTTATTTATTTTTTGCAAGAGCAGATATCAGTTATTATTATCACAAACACACACACACACAGAAGAAGAAGAGGAGGAGGAGGAGGAAAACTCAAAGAAAGGGAATTAATTAATATAACCTGGAAGAAGCCCCAGTCCTGGCAGGCCCCATGGAGGCGCGCAGATTCTTCCGGGTCGAGCAGCAGGAGCCTCTGGAAGTCGATGGTGGGGATGGTCGTCGTCGCGTTGCCGTCGTCAGCAACGACGACATCCGTGGCCACCTCTGGACGGAGATACCTGGGTGGCACTGGTGCATGACCGGCGGCGGCCACCGTGGCCTGCACGCTGGGCACAGGGAGAGACCCCGCCATCTCCATCTCGATCTTCTTTGGCATGTTCGCTTGGTCGTAATCGATCATAATTTTCAGCCAAATCAGCCACCAGTGTCCGATCCCCTCGATGGATCTCTTTCACTCTTCAGCTTTGAGTGACTGACTGTGAGTGAGCTTGTGACTACTGACAAATTAGCTAGCTAGCTAGGATGAAAATGAAAGGAATGGCCTGGCTGTGCCTGTGGAATGTGGGATAAATAATGTGAATGTGGATGGATGGCCGCCACTTGTCCGCACTTGGTGTAGAACATATAATATTTCCTCTCTCTAATACAGCACCTACCTACAGCAATACACAGCATCCGGCCAGCCCATACTCTCCTTGTTACTAATGCTATTACTTCACGCCAACTTGCTTTAGTACTGTATGTTGTTATAGACCCTAGTCGCTGGCCTGGGGTTAGTATATGTCCATCAGTCGTCTCATTCATCAAATTCAAATGAATGAAATAAGATAACGCACCTTGAACACCAATACTTTACATCATACTGCCAAGATGCTTCAGCTTTTGTTTATGATTTTTTTTATGTTGTGCTTCCTTCGATCCGTCCTGATAACAATACAATTCCTGAAGCTAAATCATCTTGAGCTTGACTAATTTTTTTAATAAAATATTAATACTTATGATACCAAATAAGTACAATTAAATTTATGGTGAGATATATTTTCATGCTATACATATTTTATGTTACAAAGTTTAACTAGTGATGAAGTTAGAATTACATTCTTTTCTGAATTTGTCTAGTTTCCCCTAAAGTTTAGTCCATATCATATCGAATGTTTGGACACATGTATGGAGTATTAAATATAGACTAAAAAATAACTAATTGCACAAATTACGACTAATTTGCGAAACAATTTTTTTAAGTCTAATTAGTCCATAATTTGACAATGTGGTGCTAAGTAAATATGTGCTAATGATGGCTTAATTAGGGTTAATAAATTCGTCTCGTGGATTACTGAGGACTACTATAATTTATTTTATTATTACTATCCAAACACTTAGGCGTTGCTTTTATGACTGGACCAAAGACTGCCGAGCCAGCCCAAATGACGAGGCGTAAGGTGTGCTCTTTCTAATGGCTGAACGCAGCCTTGTTTTGCGACCATGTCGATTCAACTTGACCTAGGCGAAAGCTGGTGTTTGTGACCCAATACTCGGTAGGGCTCAAACGCATAACCCGCCGAAAGCACAGATTGTGTTTGCCATTCTTTGTGCTTATTGGCCCAAAGAGAAGGAAGAAACGAGATGATCAATAGAGAAGCAAACATTTTGAATGAAAATGTACAAAAGACATAGGCCTCAGACTAACTCCATTTAATCAACACATACATTGCCGGCTACATTGCATAATCAAAGAAGCAAATTAAGAACAGTAGCAGAATTAAGTAGTTTGGCAAGCCGAGAAGGGCAACAAGTTAACAGAAAAGAGAGTACATGAATCAAAGTGGCATGTAGCCAGCTAATGCAATCATCCTATTGTGTCATCATCGGCCTAATTAAAACAACAGTTGTGGCACATGAACAGCTTGAGTGACAAACCAACTATAACCATAAACAAGATCAAGATGACAACATTTTTGCAACAGCCTTGCAGCCCATGTGAATGAGGATAGATTTCAGAACCTTGAGCTGTCACCAGTTCATGGGATGCTGATGCATCCCCATGAGGGGCTTCAATTGGTAACAGCAAGGGTTCTTGAGGTACCCTTGCATTAAAATCTCTAAGAGCATCATCATAGTTGTTGTACTTCTGATAGATAGCCTCTTCTTCTCTAAGCACTTGCTTAGCACACTTATACCATGTAAAATAAATCCCAGGTTTCTTCCCTTCAAAGACCACATAGCAAGGAGGCATTCTCTGAAACCAACCAAATGTAGAACATGTAAAGTGGTCTGAATGACATGCCTCAGTCGACCATTCAGTTTGAATGATGGTGAACATCATCGGCTACTTGATAAAAAAATTAGCCTCAGCTTAGTAGTTTGGTGGTTTTTTTTCCTTGTTTAGTCATTGGTGGCTACCAAAAATTGTAAGAACCAAATAAAGAGACAAATAAACAACAGTTGCACTCACTACCATACAGACCTTTTGATCAGTTGCACTCACCGTCATCAGCCATCACAAGAGGATGTTGTTGCTATGGAGTACAACTGAGCATAAGTGTAGAATGGAAGGATAGGCAAATAAAGAACAAAGCACAATAACAAAACCATCAAAACAAGAATAAGGTAGCCACCTCATGTTTGTTTTATGCATCATAGGCCTTTAAATCCCACATTTACCACCAGGGCATAAACAACATAAATAGACAACTAGTTATCAAATAAAAAGTAGCCAACAGAGGCTACAAATAGTGTTTGTTCCAATACCAAGTTTAGCCCAACAGCCAATGACTCAAATGTTCCCAAATCCTTGCCTATTGTTAGCCACCCTCCTAGGCAAACTACACCATCAAGGTCAGGTGTCAAAAGAACAAGCAGACTGCACAAAAGCTCCTGTTGTCAAAAGAAGAGAGAGTGGGTGAGGGGGTGGAGGAACTATACATCTCTACAGTCAACCCCCTCCTGGCCTTCTAGCCCTTCATGTGTAGTGGAACTACACATAGTAGTTTTTGGCCAAGAAGGTCCTAAGCCAAAGGGCCCTGTAGGCATCACTCATGTTTACAAAGCCCGTGTCTTGGGCCTTGTTGTCCAGGAGGAAGGTGTAGGCAGCAATAAGTGCCTCCTCACTGAAGCTAGGCATCTCCATCACAGCAAGGTACAGATTGGCATCAACATGGGCAGGTCCAGTCTCCCTAAGAGCATTGGCCACATTGTTCACAACATCTGACATGTTAGTCAACAAGAGCATCTCCTCCTCAGAGAAGTTCCCTCTCTTCCTCTTTGGGCCAGCAGCTGAGGAGGTAGGAAGCAGTTTAGTGGCCTTGCTATCCCCTCCCTGTTCACTGGGAATTGTGGTGTGGGTCAAAGGAGGACCATCAGCCTTGGCACCAACACTGTCAGCCTGGTTCTGCCCTAAGGCTTCACCAGACCCAAGTGCAAACTTGCCTGTGGCCATGGCATTAGCAAAGATAGCCTCCATCTCAGTGTAGAACCTAATAGGGTAGTTAAGAAACTCTATATCTTTAGGATGGTCTTGCAGGGTTGGGCAATTGTAGTTTAAGAAAGGCAAATGTAGGTAGTCAAGACAAAGACAAGATCAAATTGCTACCTTGCAGTGGCCAAGGTAGTGCTCTTGCTCAAGCATGATAGCATGAGCCTGGTCATCCCAAAGAGCACCACTAAGGTCCTTCAGCTTGCTCACCCTAGCCCATTTCTACCTCCACTTCCTCAAGTGGTTGTACACTTGAGTTGGGCTAACAACCTCCCCACAGAACAGCTTGAGGGCTTTGGCCACAGAATTCACATCTTTGTCCTTGAAAACCTTGTCAGGCCTGCTACCATCACTAACAAGGGCAGCCATCCTCCTTAGCACAAAGCCAGAGGTGGTGTTGGTCCATCTCATTGCCCTCACAGACCCATTCCCAACCACAGGAGCAGCAACATCAACAGTGTTTGCTGCATCTGGAGCAGCACCAGCACCAGCTGCAACAGGGGCAGCAGCACTAGCACCAGCACCAGCTACAACAGGGGCAGAACCACCATTGATGAGCTGCTCCATCACTGAAGTACCAGCAACAAACCCACCCTCAAATGCACCTGAATCCATCCTAGGGCTGGCATGTAATGAAATCAACAACATAATTAGTCAAGAACAGACTGACAGCAATATTAACAGTTGCATAAATAAACAACAGACTGACAGATCATGAAGAACAGAATGATTCAAGAACAGACTGACAGTAAGATTAACAACAACAGAATGAATGAAGCATAAAATTGGTCTTAGCTTTGTCCACCAAATTATTACATCACCATGACACACACATGAGTTCCATAGCAGGGTACATAAGCTAAATTCAAGAACATATTACATAAAATAGTGTTTGTTCCCCTCCCTTCCCACATAGCATTGCAAATGGCATCCCTTATTTCAGCCATGTCAACAGATTCTTGGTCCAGATGGGCTAGGGGCAGGTTGGTTGGATCAGCAGAAGCAGTGAAACCTTCCTCATTAGGCACTACTTCATCAATGCCAAAACCTAGGATCCAGTTGTGCAAAATGGCACAGGCAACTACAAGCTTCACTTGTGTCCTATACTTGTGGAAGGGTTTGTTGTCCAAGATCCTAAACCTGCCCTTCAGTGCACCTATAGCCCTTTCCATAGTCACTCTAAGTGATGAGTGCCTAAGGTTGTAGAGCTCCCTTGCATTAGTGGGCCTGTTCCTTGGGCCATACTCAGACAAATGGTACCTAACCCCCTGTAGGGAGGTAGGAAACCATTTTTGCATGCATACCTAGCATCTACCAAGAACATTTTACCTACACAAGACATCTACTGTGAGAGTGTGTGTTAATAGGCCATGGAATATGTAATTAGTGTTGGTGTGCAATTACCTTCTGGCAAACTCAAGCCATCTTCCCTGGCTACAGTATCTGCCAAAACAGTTGCATCATGGGCAGAGCCCTCCCAGCCAGCCAGGACATAAGTGAATTTTAGATCACAATTCACAGCTACCATCACATTTTGGGTGGGATCCTTTTTCCTACCCCTGAAAGCTTGTTGCATGCGCCTAGGAACCCTTGCTAGGAAATAAGTGCCATCTATAAAGCCAATGACATCCTAAAAAGCATGGGTCAGTCATTGCAACAGGTCTAATGTAACTAATGAACCCAGGGTATACAATTACCTTAAAATATGGATTCCATGTATGGCTTCTAAGAATCTTTGGGTGAGTGGTAGTGCTAGCTGACTTTATCATTTCATTCCTAAGCTCACCCACAGCATACAACACCTGATGGAAGTGCTTGTGGACAGTTTGGATGGACCTCCTAAAGGACTGGTGGACAACCCTAAATCTTTGGTTGTGCCCTACAACATGTAAAAACATGGCAACCTGCTCTTCTACTGACATCCCCTCCCTATCAGTGACAAGACTCCTCTCTCTAAAAGTTCTCACTAACTTAAAAAAAGCAGGTCTCTTCATCCTAATCATAGAAATACACTCTGAATCAGTGGAGTTGTATATCATTCTCAGTGTTCTTTGTCTGTGCTGTTCATTTTCATCCCTAATTAGGGCCAGTGCTATAGGATCAGGCAGTGGGGTTTTAGGTTCAGGGGTTTTCCTTTTCAGCCTAGTGGATACAAAGGAAACCATAACAACAGTCAAGGCAGCTGCCTTCCTACACAGCATGTCACGGCTCAAAGACAGATCTATCTACAAGCATGTAAAAATGTAACATGATTTCAGCTTAATGTACCCTGCTAGGCATCAACATGAATGTGATATGAATGCATATGAACAAAAGCACGGCTGCATCTTGTATGTGATGCCTCCCAGTGCTAAATTTGGACAACATCATCGACCAATGATGGAACAAAAAACTCAGAGCAATAGTAATCAGAAACAGATCAACATCCCTAACAGATCAAGAACAGCAAGGTACAAGTAACACTAACAACTGCATCAAACAGTTATGAACAGCAAGGTACAATACTAATCTCAAACAGATCAACAACCCTAACAGATCACGATCCCAACAGATCAAGAACAACAAGGTACAAGAACCCTAATAGGAGCATGAAGCAGTTATAACAAGTATGAAACCCTAACAGATCATGAACAGCAACGAACAAGAAACCCTAAGAACTTCAAGAAGCACCACAAAAAAGAAGATTGGGGGTCGATTTCACCTTGGCTCGGGGTCCAAACAACGGAGAGGAGGCAGATCTAGAAGTAGAGGATGCAGATCGGGAAGAAGACGAAGCAGATGCGGACGGAGAAGAAGAGGAACACCGCTGCCACGGAGTCCCAGCAGGAGCCAGAGCGGGGACGTGGCGAAGAACCTCGGCGTCGGTGACCGAACCCACAACCAGTCGGAGGTCGCCGCCGCCGCCACGCACCACCACTCACCGCCGGTCTCTCACGAGGGAGGTGGAAGAGCAAGCACCGAGTGGAAGAAGGAGAGAGTGGAGAGTGGGAACCCGTATATAAAGGCCGGCGAAATCGCCGCCATTTCGCTTCGCGCGCGGTGGCCAGAGCGGGAGCGGGGAGCGGGGACGCGCGCGAAGAAGTTTCCCCTTCCCGTCAGAGCCCGCGCGAGCCACCCCGCCGCCGCCCAAAATCGCCTGCGTGCGCCGCCACGAGCTCGGCTCCAAAGAAACGAGTTTCCTCGTTTCCAGAGGGCCAGGTGGAGAGGTCGTTTTTCACTCTGGGAAGCCAGGCTCGCTCGCGGGCCATGACCACAAACATGGCAAGTTGCAGCCCACGGGCGCAGCCGGGCCTCCGGGCCAGGGTCGCAAACGTGCCCTTAATGTGATACCCCTAAACTTTAGCAGTGGATTTAAACATGCCCCTGATAGTATTTGTTATAGACCTACTACTACCTCGGGTATAGGAGGAATCTACTGTACATCATGTTCGCTGGTTGGTGCGCTGGTTGATGCTGGTTTGGGCTGGCTGGTGCTGATTTTTTAAGAGAAAAACACTGTTAACTGATTGAATAAATCTGGCTAAAAACAAAGGGTGTACAGATGCTTCACTTACGGCCAGACGGGCATGGCACTGAAGAAGAATCGTCCTGTACTTGCAACATGGACGTTGGACGATCAGACAGCTAAAGATTATTTAAAGGAACCCACATCGCATCTTATAAGATTATTTAAAGGAACCCGCATCGCATCTTATAAGGGCTTGTTAGGTTACTTAGAAATAGAACCTGGAATAATTCCTAATTGGATTATTTCATAAATTTATACTAATCATGAGAAGATGGAATTGTTCCTGGTCCATTCCAAGGAAGCTAATAAGTTTTTAGGACCGACGACCGAGACTTCTAAGTACATACTACCTTGAGATATTATATCCAATAACAATTCAAGTTAAGAAAAAAAACCACAATTATTTAATCAGGACCTATCTTTGAGAATGGGCAGGAGCAAGAAAGTAAGCAACCCTATCGAGTATGGTTATTGTCAAGAGGAGACTACCACACAAATAACCTACAACACAGGTGAGCTTCTCTTTTTACACATGTCATGGAGCATCAGCATCATACGTACACTAACAGTAGAAGAAAACGCAATGTTCATAAGCTCCTTTCTTGCCCGAAAGAATTGATTGATAGTTCACTATTTTGTTGGTTCCAAAAAAAAAAAAACCATCAGCAGCTTCTAGTTCGCCGAGAGGAAGTGCACTCGGGCGAGGGGATGCTCCTTCCCAGCCACCCAGACGCCGGTCTGCGACCACTGCACGTCCTCCCATTCTAGGTTATCCTGCAACACCTGCATCATTGCCGAGGTAGCAAATGCCAAATGTAAGCCGTGTTTCTGTCTCCTGATGAAGAGTTTCAAGTCTCATCACCAACAAAGTTGAAATACCTCAAGCTGGTTTGCTGGTAGCGGGATACCGATGGAGCGCATGGCACTTTCAGGCATGGCCTTCTTACAGCGGGACCATCGGAACACATCCCGTATTTCATGCTCCACAACACGTCTGTCACCATTTTGTGAGTGGTGACTGCTGCTCTGGTGTTTCTCTGCTTCTGCTTCAGATGCATTGGAGCTTGATCCAACAATACGAGGCTTCTCTCCACTGAAGCACAGCTCGTACCTGTGTAAAATTGTAACAACAGTGAGTTCTATCAAAGTACAACTTGGGAAGCAACCAAAGAAGCCATGAACAAATATTCAGAACTAAATAAAAATAGTGGCAGAGGCTCATACCTATCGAAGTGTGTCTCTAAATATATGACTTCTCCTTTCTTCAGTCTAGCAGAAGTATAAAGAGACTTTTTCAATCCCTTGTCTGCCACAATGCTTATACTGTATTTTAACCTGGACAAAGAAAATGCCAGATCATATTAAGCATCCTAAAACTAAACAGATAACTAACTGCAAGAGAACAACTTCAAAAGGCACACGAAGTCTATTGTACCAAGAAAATTGAAAACACGCTATACAAAATTACAAATGGCAATACAAGTTAAGTTATGAACGAACATAATTGTAGTAGTGAACTACAAATGACATCTTTGAGTGCAGATCAGAAAGGTACCATGGCTCATTGCAGAGATTATACTGTATAGTCACTTCACGGACAAATCTTTGTTGACGCAAAGCATTCTGTAATAAAGCATGTTGGAAAATTCTTAGTTTAGAGTAGAGAGAAGTTTGATGGTTACGGAATCTACCTCAGACCAAAACAAACATTGATTGAACTGGGAATAAAATTGTGAGAGAACAGGGAAAGATAAATGAAAATCAAAAGAAAATTACGGAAGCTGCAGCTCTTGTCGTCATTGTACGCTCAACCACAACCGGAGCAAGAGTAGGCTCCACAGCTGATGTGTGGCTAAGCGCTGCTCGAGGTCAATGGTGCCACCACCTTTCTGAAAAAGCATGTAAAGGAAACTAAGGAAACATTCCACGAAATAGAACCATTACAAGGTTTCAAAAGGTGACTACATCGAGAGTCCAACAAAAAAGGAGGCACGGTAATGTTCTATATTGACCGCACCCTTCATACCTTAACAATGCAGCAGCGTTCTATCCGAAAGCTACAACCAATCCCAGCACCCCAAGCACGTGAACGCACATTGTTCCTCAA